ACGATTCGGTTTGACCCAGAAGTCATGTGACCAGTGATTTCTTCACACTCCCTCTGGCGGCCAGTGAAGTTTGGAACCATTGGAGGAAGGCATGGTTTGGGCAGTGATGGCTTCGCATCTTTAAAAGACAGATTTAAACAATAATAATCATAAAATTGCTCTCTGTATGTATGATAACCGAAGCATACTCGATTGGTATGCCTTGGAATACTGTGGCTCAACAAAAGCCCACTCAACTAAAATAAATAGTCAAGCAATCCATGGCATAATACCAGTTAATTAAAAGTAGTTTTTGTTAACATGGAACTAACATAGTAATAGACCTCTTTCGTTTGGGCGGTTTGTTTTCCCATTACAGAGCACGTGATATTCTGTAGGAAAATGTTCTTTAATCCATCTAAAAACTATTTATTCTTATGCACAGTACTATTTGAAAATCTGAAAGGAAGAATTCTCAATAATATCATCACATGGTCTGAAATGGGGCAACAAATCGACCAGTTGAAAAAGATCTATTGAACTATGCAAAGAGTTCAAAATTAAGAAACTTGCGGTCGCCTCATGCACGCCCAAAAGAAAGCATAAAATAATATGCTCAGCTGGCCTTTAAATAAGTAGCTTAGTTTACCCGAGATCTGCTTTGGACACGTTCCTTGCGATTTACTGCTTACCTGCTACACTGCGAGTTTTATGGTTATCGCGACCAAGGAAAGTCAAGAAAACTCGCCATAGAAGTACGTTTATTATCAGTGTTTGTAATAGTCAATCATTTCAGGTTTGTCAGTAATAGTTNTTTACTTGCTGCGCTTTCCAATTTCTCGTTCATTGCAGTTGACAGCGCTCTTAACTCGTCGATATCTGAGCTCATGCCCTCGAGAAACTTATTGTGTGTTTGGATCTCCTCTTTTATGGCTTGCTCCAACTTGCGAACTTCTTTGGTGGGAAAGTCCGACTCAGTCAAACCACCAATGACATCAATGGGAACTGCCTTGATTCCCAGAGCTTTGAATGCATCTTTAGAGAGCTGCACGTATTGATCAAAGGTTGCTTTGACAATCTCAGAACTGGTTGAGTGACAAAGCGAATTTCTTAACAGTCGAATTTGATCAATTGCAAGTGCAAATGTTTCTGCCCTGTTTCCACTCGGGCTCACCACAGATACATGGAACCTCCCATGAGCTAACTTATGAGGCTTCACATACAGATCACCGAGTGTCCTGTGATGACCTTTGCTGTCGGGCAAAGCGAAGGACTGCGCGTAAATAGTGGCCTGGAACAGGGCTGTACAATCCCATTCTTCATAAGAGAGGTTTGTGGGAACTTTGGTTGTGCCACCCTCTGTGGTAAGAAACAGATTTCTTACCGCAATAGAGTCATCCCATGGTTGGAAACCGGGGAGATGTCCAAAGGTGTTGTCCCACATGGATCTGAAAGTATGACGTAATGCCTTGGGAAATTCATTCAGTACAATGGAAGCAAACTTGAAATAGTTCAAATGCTCGTCCTGAAACGGCTGCAGAGTCATCCTTACATCAGCAGTGATCAAGGATCTGTTGGACTACCTGTCAAAGCCTAAAAAACAGGACCCTCAATGTTACTTTGGATCTCTCAAATGATAAATAAATACTGTTCAAGAGGAATGAGGGGTTGAGGGATGGTCCCACCAGGTGCGCCCTTAAAATGCCGACAAAGGCCCACCATCTGAAACAGGCCCGGCCATCGTGTCGGCTGTTGTACATCCTGGTTGTAAACCCTGGTAAATACAGTCTTGTACAAACAAACGGCAAAAGGAGAGTGTCCGGCTCCTTCAAATAACAGGATCCTAGTGGCCAAGGGAACAACAACCCCTGACAAACAAAACCCCAGGTTGGGGGTTGAGCTGCAAGCCAACTCTCTACTCTCACAAAACCCTATCGGCTGCAGAAACAGGTACAGGAATTCGTACTACTCAACTCCGATTGCAAACTCCGAGGACACGACAACCGGAAGTGGCGTTGCATTTTGGGGTTGACTGCTGTGAAAAGAGAGGTACCGGACGTCGGCAATGTATTGATTGAAATAGAAAGTCAATTTTATTTTCACAGACACATCATCTACCTTATATGAAGGATGAAAGCCTTGAAGAGTGGACCAAACTTTCAGGATTCCGAAGAATTCCAAAAGAAGTTTGTACAGTCTATTTTTATTAAGGTCAATTTGTCAAACCGAGTAACGTCCATTTTGCTATAAACTTTCTAAAAGCTAACACATAATAGAGAAAAAAAGTGAAAACGCACTTTAGATTATTTTTCAAGATTTCAATAAACAGTCTGTTTTAACAAAAGAACTAGAGTGTCAGTGATATGCGCTGATTGTGCTGTGATTGTTACGCTAGAGAAAAAAGGAACCTTTCCGCTTTACTTTTAAGGGAAATTAATAGAGGTAATTTTCATGTGGCAATGTTGCATGACAAGTTGAAACACGTTACGCGTATTACCACCCTTTTGCTGAGTACAGTAGCCTGCGAACAGGCTCCCGGTGAGACCAAACGAAGCGAGGTCCCCTGTCCCGCCCCGATCGCTCTTCTGTTTCGAGCTCGCCGAAATTTTTTTCCGTTCTCGGGAGCCTGTTCGCAAGCTACGAGTACACCAACATGGGGAAGCGAATTCCCACGTAGACTCAGTGACCCCCTTCCGAAGGCATTTGAAATGTAGGCGTTCCGCCAAAGAAAGGGAGACAAATGAAAAATTCCTAAAAAAATCTCTCAAACTATCAACTTACTGACGGCCAAGTCAGCGCGCTATCAAAGGGTCTCGAATTTATCCCAATACCCGTGACCGACGAATCGATCTATAATTAGGCAACAACACTTGAGAGAATTTGAACAAGACGAATTCGCCTCCAATACATTTTTCACGAGCAAAACAAACAACCACATCCTTTTCATGTTAAATAAAACTGGATGCCACCGGTTTAACCTTCTATTGCCCTTGAGAGCTACTTGGAAAATGTCAAAACACAACTTGCAGAAGCCAAAAAGTAATTTGTCAAGCAATGAGTTCAAGGCTCTAAAAGACGTAGATCGGTTTATTAAACAAGCTAACTATTTCCACCCTACTATCAAATTCCCGGCCGAAATATCAGAGAACCAAATCAGTTTCCTCGATACCACAGTGTTTAAAGGGGAAAGATTCACAAGAGATTCCATCTTGGACATCAAAACTCACTACAAACCGACGGAGAACTTCTAATCAACGTACTTCGCCTCGTGCCATCCACCAGGCGTAAAATATGGTTTCATTAAAGGCGAAGCAATAAGATTGCTTTGAACTAACTCTTCGAAAAAAACATTTGAATATAGCCTTTTGAAATTCAAACAACGCCTCAAAGCAAGATGGTAACCAGAAAACATCATAGAAAGGTCTCTGTCAGGGGTCAACTTTGCCTCTAGGCAATCTGCACTTACCCAAAAGCAAAAAGGTCACTAGCGAATATTGCCTTTTGTCACAACGTACCATCCGGAAGTAAAAAAAGTTAAATATTGATGGAACATTGGTGTCTGATATATAATCAGCCTTTGCTGAAAACAATTTTTATTAAACCTCCGATCATGTCTTACAAGAAGGGAAAATCCCTTACATGTAAAGACAAGCTTGTGAGAGCAAAAATATAATTTGAAGGCGATAATGCGACGCGACAACAAAAGCCACATGGGGAGCCCGTGCCGGTCTGTCTTTACCTTTATTCTCGCGCAGTATGGTCTTACGTAAAGTTCCCCCGCGTGTCCGCTTGTTTATTAGGGACTTAAAGATATGGTACGGCTAGGCTGTAGTAGGGCGGCAGACAGTGAAGATCGCTTCCGGTGACGTCATGACGCGCGTATCGGCGGCTTTCCCGCCGTAGCCTTGCTTTCTACTATGGGAAAGTGCCTGGTTTCCGGCATCGACAAAACCAGGACCGGACCGGACCGGACCGGACCGGACCGGATCACGGATCTGATCACAGAAAAAAAAGCAAAGTTTTAAAGAAAAAAATCCCCCCCAAAATCAAAT